TATAACAGAGCAAATCAGCGCAAACACCTCATACTATGAAGCACGGTGGTGGTGCAGTCATTGAGTTGACCACGAATTCCTCTGTATACCAAAGTATTCTAGAGTAAAATGTGAGGCCATCTGTCCAACAGCTGAGCTTCGCTGGGGTCATCAACAGGACAACGATCGCAAGCACAACAGCATATTTGCAACAGAAGGACTGAAAAGGAAAAGAATCTGTTCTTCATTGGCTCAGTCAAGACATCAACTAGATTTAAATGCTGTGATAGGACCTTAAGAGAAGTGTGCATGCGTGAATACACACAAACCTCAATGAACAGAAGCAACATTAAAAAGAAAAGCAGGTCAAAATCGCTCCCCAACGATGTGAGACACTGATGAAGTCATACAGAAAACAATTATTTGAAGTTTATCGAGCTGATAAAGGCGGTTGTACAAACTGCTGAATCATGGGGTGCATTTAGTTTTTCACAGGACTGCAAAGTCCAGTAAATTGTTTCTTCTTTTTTCCACTGACTGTACTTTGTAGTCATTATACAGATTATTTTCTCACACATGTTCAACATGGAGCTTCTTGGCGGATCAGAAATGCTGAACTTTTTAAAAAAACAAAACAAAACATTTATTTATTGGTTTTAACCGGTTTTACATGGTGCACTGTGAACATAAAAAAAAAAAAAAAAAGACCAAAAAAAGACCAAAAAAACCCACAAACAAAAACAAAAACAAAGCAAACCGTAACAGAAGGGAAGGACAGATATACAAATCAAGTTAGAGTTTCAGGCTGTTAAGTCCACAGTGTGCACGTTGCAGTTCTCCAGAAAGTTGTAGAATTTTGACCATATCGCCCAAAACTTGTCCAGTTTATTTCTTAATGTATAAGTTATTTTCTCCATAGATAGTATAGATGTCAGTCCATTAAGCCATTGAGATAGTCCACATATTTTTGGATTTCTCCAACACATAGCAATACAGCGCTTGGCTTCCAAAAGTCCAATCGTTAACAGAGCTCTATTGTTTGCAGCAGGTACAAAATTATTCACGTATATATTTAAAATACATATTTTAGGATTAAGTGGAATCACATCACCAATAATTTGACTCAACAGATTTATTACCTTTTCCCAAAAGATTTTCACATGTGGACACTCCCATATACAGTGAAATAAAGTGCCCCTGTCCACTCGACACTTAATAC